CCCATTGGCCAAAAAATATTAACCAGAGCTACCAGGATTTTTTCTGCCAACTTGCCGACCTCACAATGTTGTGACCCCAAGCAACTGGTCTAGCTACATGTACTACTCACCTATTGCAGGGGTGGGTACATGTACATGAGCCTCTGTAGAGACATCAGTCTGTTGACAGGCTGCTGCAGATTGTTGCATCGCGGTACTCTGGATCTCCTGCCCACAAATGAAAACAAATCCCGTATGTCAATGATGAATGAAAAGTTCTGTCACATTTTGCTCTTGGTAGGTAAACTTGTGAATACTCGTAACATAGTTTTTACTAATTAAATACCATTGAAAAACAAATACAAGGAAAGACAAAACTTAATTGTGAGGATGGTTTCAGAGTGCACAAAATTCAATTCAATTGACGCAGAAAGGCTGAAAAGATCGTAGAATTAAACTTGTGGTGGTAACGTGACGAAAGAGAAAACTTCACTTTCGCTGTTCGCAGGGAGACTATCGAATAGGGGCGCCAGACTAATGTACTTGTGGCATACGTGACATACATGAAAAGCAAGTCTCGTAAAAACCGCTCAAAAACCAGAGTCAGTCACAACTCTTATTATCCACAAGTGTGATAAGTACAATACATACAACAGCAAGACGCATTCATAGGTAATTCAACGTTTACTATATAATCCATGAAACTGAAGAAAAAAATTAAACCATTGCTGTAGCAAAACTTACAGTTAAATTCGGAGCGGGTTGATTCACAGACATCCAAGACAACACTGACGCACTGCAGCTGCTACGCCCACCGATCTCATGACCACTTGACGGAACTGCATTATGCAAATTATTCTCTGGATTAATCTCCTTTTAATTATGGTGTCAACTCAACCTTTACAAGTTAATAATTAACAAGCAACTTCGATATTCTGTCACATGCAAGCAATTTCCTGACTTTCCTCCATATAAAATAAACCATGTATTTCAATATTTTATATATCTCAATATGAATATAACAATCATACCATAATCTTAATTAAAAGATTAAAATGTTCTGTTTTAAATCCTGACAAATCGCGCAGCGATATGAAACCCAATATTTGTCCTTGGTTTTCCCAAAAAGTTCTGAAGTCCACACTGAAGTGTTTTGCTTTGGTCTGCCGTGACGCAAAGTTGTACAAAGTTGACGAGTCAGTAGGTGACTTAATTTCCTTATCAAATGATGCAAATTCAAGTGTTTACAAGTGTTATTCTTAGCACTGCATCTATTCAATGCAAATTAATTACCTTTGAGCCTTCAGTCAACACTGATACGTGTATATGCCTACATAGCTTGGTATAATACAGCATGCAATACGGCAATGGTAAATTGAATTACTATACAAATTGTATCTTGTGGTATTTTAATACCGGCATTATGAGAAGCTATGCAATTCCCCTGTTAGAACAAAATAATGCTGAAATAATTACTTGGAAGTAGGCCTTCATCCTGAAACTGTCACTAAATGTCTGGACCAAAAGTAAAGGCATCCAACATTTAATTCAGTAGCAACCATTTTAATAAAGAATCTAAGAGCCTGAAAAAATTGTTCAAAATATGTTGCAAAAGAAAAGTACTTACCCAAATATCATATTCAACTGCTACTTCCTGCACAAAGCACTGATGCTTTCACTAAGAAATCCAGCCACACTTTAAGACCTATTTTAATGCAGGCTAAAGACCTCTTTTGGGGTAATGTTTAAATTTTATACTTTTTGTTAATTTTACCTTGTAAAACTTTGGGAAAAATTTAGAAGTATGGTACAATCCTGTTGAACAATCCTGTTGAGAAAGTCATGTGGTATAAGTTCAGTGTTCGTGTAATCAGGGAGATAGCTGCATGGTGCAATGGCATGGCAAACGGAACACTGACTTTGTCACCTTCTAACAAAACATTTTTTTTAAATCTGCAAAATTCAAAGTTGTAAACTGTCACTGCACTTTTGAGATGTAATGCCATGGAGATTGTACAGTTTTTCACATTATGCATGCAGATGCCTTGTGGTTTTGTCACATATTTATTGTATTTTTTGTAACACACTCAAAATCATATCAACACATAACCGCCGCGTGTTGAAGAACAAGTGCAGACACATTAAAGAAATTAAAGAGTTTTTCTTTAAATTTCATTTTAAATTAAAGTTTACTCCTCCTCTGAAGTTTAGCCGCCCTTGAAAAGTTATCATTTTCCATTCATTACAATGGGTCTATTTTGTTTTGATTGACAGATGTAACTTTAGATAATATTTTTGAATGGATTGTATTATTTTTTTTGTCCAAGAACAGCACATACAAATGGTTGGCACATTTTGCCAACCATGCACGACTTGCATTGGCAAACTATGAGCTTTAGGCCCAAGGCATTGTAAAAAGGAAAAATAACTTTTAATTTTATGTTTCCAAAAATATTATTGGCAGGATTCTTTCAAATAACCAACAAATACTACAAGAGGGGGGGGGGGGGGTGGCTATGCCCCCCCCCCCCCAACGAGCCATTTTTATTAAAGTGATATCGCCTACACCACCATCTTTTGCTTGAAAAAAAAATATGGTTAAACTGGTCACAATCAAATTGCCTCAGCATGGCTCTGATCGCACCACAGAACATCTACAAATTACAATCCAAAAAATGTTCAGGGCCCTTAAGCATTTCAAATGGCAAAAGGGAGTCAGGAACTAGCTAACTAGTTTCCACCCATAAAAGCTGCCCTAGTTCCCAACTCCCTATTATATTATCGTTCGAAATGTACTTGCGTTTACAAACGAGATCCAGTCTACTCATTATCAATAATCGATGCATTGCGCTCAGTAACCGAATCGCACTCGGGATACGGGGACCGTCGAATGTACGCTGGGCATGAGGATCACATCGCGTCGTTCAAACATTAACACGAGTCGGAAATTTAACGTGTTCATGCTTGTAAGGGGAGCTCTAGGAATTAAACGGGAAATTTCACTTTTCATCTGGATCATAAGTAAACTTCAGTACTAATCATCGATGTCTACTTGTACCTCAGGTGGCGTATTTAGTAATTTGGAGGCCATTTTGAGGGTGAAATCTGATGTTTTTGTTGGGCAATGTTGGGTTTTGGGGTCAAGGACAAAATTGTGTCGCTCAGCATATATACGGATTAGCTTGGACCCTATTGCCAGACCATGGCGATAAGTTGGTCCAAGTTACTTTCAATGATGTTTGACAAAGATTAATGCCAAAAGTGGCAGTGAGAAAAACGTGTACAAAGTCTATGGGATTTTAGGCGACAAAAAGAAGAAGGGAAAAAAATTACAACAAAAACAAACTTTTCCACAACTATCATGACTATGCGGAAAAGCCAAAAATCTTTCAAAAGTCACAAATAGAAAGGTCTCTCCAAGGCTTACCTGGCCTTGTAACTTGTAAGTTGATTTTTGAGCACAAACCACATCACTGGGAACCGTACACCATGTACACGGACGTCGGGAAACCAGACTGTGCCGTCGTGCATTTACAATCGAGTTGTCAAATCATCATGATCATGGACTTCTGCTGTGCCGCCCAACTTGTTATTTTGTTATGCACCCAAAACATGCATGACGAAATATCGGTGCCCATGGCAGGCATGCAATGCTGCATATGTTGTCGACCTTGAATTTCTTTAAAACGTCCTATGGCCGGTTTTATTCAACCGGCATCAGTGATTGTTTATGTTGATGTTGGTGACACTCCTCGTGCCTGCGCGCGTAATTTTTATTCCTAGGAGGGTTAGGGGCAATGTCATGAATAATTCATGTTTATCCATGAGAACGGACAATGACATCAACAGCATTGTTGTTAGTTACTCAACTAGTTAAAATACATTAAAGCATTTTAAAGAACGGTTGTCGTCGAGCTACCACACAGTAGCCTAGTGGATAGCGAGATGAGCTATGGATACAAAGATCCCTGGTTCGAATCCACGTCGTCGCTGCTCATTTTCATCAGCTATTTTTCTTCTCCAAATTTATCACTGAGATAATTTTAAATTAAGGGGAAAATAGAACGAGAACCTAAGTCTTGCAATGATTCAAAGGAAAAACTGAATTATTCATGACACTGCCCCTAACCCTCCTAGGAAAAAAAATTACGCGGCCCTCGCGGCAAATTTTAATATAATTTGGCCGACGAATGGTGGCGTTTTCAACATGGCGACTTACATGGAACAATTTCACGGATTTTTTACGTGACAGATTTCGGTCATAAATCTGCATTACGGCTAGACCCGTGAACGTGGCGTTGTATACAACGCCACGTTCTTGTTTCATTTCGAACCTGGCGAAATCGATCCGACAGACATAATTCCGTATGGGTGTTGAGTACTCACCTAGAAATCTATATTTGCCCGTCCGATTGTTTCGGCTGTGTAATTTCGACGAAATTTGCCCATCAGTAAAGACCCATACGAACGTGTAGAAATTAGATTTTAACCTGACCCTGACAAATAACCCCGGACGCGTCTGAGTCGCTTGGACAGATTGACGGCTGTTTCATGTCGCAACCCCGAAAAAAAAAACCCCGCAGACGATTGGCTGCTCGGCTCATCTCGTGTACAGTACGTGTGTGCACACACACGCGGGCGCACGTGCGACCGCGTGCGGTGCGGTGAGAGAGGAAAGGACTTGAAACTTGTCTAAAACGATGTCTGTTTTAGCTGCGACAGTAAACAGCCGTCAATCATACGAAAATAAAACGCAATGCGCGTGCGTCAGTTGGGAGAAAATGGCAGCTAGCAGTAGCGGACGGACTTCATGAACCGGGGCCAGAATTTTCCTCAATTTTCGTCAAATGCAAGTTTTGACGTACAAATAGAATTCAAGACAGCTTCATATGTGAGTACTTATTACATAGGCAAAATAACGTCCAGTGTGTGTAACGGAGGGAGTCAGAGGGACACGTTCGCCAGGTTCGAAATGACATAAGAACGTGGCGTAGTTTACAAGCCACGTTCACGGGTCTACATTACGGCTAGTTTTTCTTGGATGTTAAGACGGTATTATTTAGCCATCGACAAAAGGTACCCCTACACACATTCCACTTATTTTTATCGTTTCAAATAAGGGATGCAAAAAGGGGGAGAAACTTTCGTCAGCTGCGCACAAAAAGGTGATGTGAAATCAATGCAAACCTTGTTGACCAACGAAGAACTTAACGCAGCTGAGGTTCTTCAGTACAGCCGGCCTCGCTCCGGTGACAGGGCGGTGCACCTAGCTGCCAGGCACGGCCACGTCCGGGTGCTAGAGTTTCTCAAAGCTGAGGGTGCCGATTTTGAAGCTGCAAATTTGGACGGAAAACGAGCCTTGCACGAAGCCGCAGCGTCTGGAAATGGCAACTGTGTGACTTTCTTGCTGTCATCATCGGGCGTTTTGGTTGACCCACTGAAAAGAGCAGATTGGTGGGTGTAACAGTGTAAATTAAAGAATAAATGTTGGGAATAATGACTCTAATGCGACTATCAGTTGCTCCCCCCCCCCCAGCCCCGGCAGCCCCGCCCAAGAGCAGCTGGGGGGGGGGGGGGGGGGCATTTGATAGGAGCTTAAATGAAGATTTCTGGGAGTGCTAGAATAATTTAATTTCACCATGAACTTTGAATATAATGGTAATGTATGCAGTAACCCATATCAGTGTTTTGAATCATTATGAATGCAACTTTTGAAGGGTTTAAAGGGAATATACATCATTTGCTTTTGCTGTAATTTTCAGAAATGGATGGAATTGGGGGGTTGGAAATATATAGCAAATATAGTTACACTGACTTTTTTGAGGTTTTGGGTTCGAAAATGCTATAAAAACCAAGAAAACAATCATTTTCCTGTAGTCTGGTTCCCTGACTCCATATAAGAAGAAACAGAGCAGTTTACATACATTGGGGAATTGTAAGGTCAGGGAACCAGTCTAGCTGGCTTGTACCCGTTCATAGGTGTGTAATCGATTGCAAACAAGTGCGATGGTCAATTGGGGCCAGTATTTGAAAAAAAGCCAGTTTTTTCCAACGCTGATCGGCCGATCAGCGTTGGAAATTGATACAAAAATAGCACTTTTCTTGAAAATGACAGTATACCAGGTGCCATGATTTTACAGGATGCTTTACACTGTCATTCACTAACAGTCCAGCAAGGTATTTCAAAATGATTTGGTAGTTTTATTTGTTGATGTTTGCAAATGTTGTATTTTCCCTTTAAAGTGTTGAATTGGAATATTAAAATAAAATGTAACAGTACCCTCTCCCCCCCCCCCCCCCCGCAACAATGTCAAAAGTATCTGTATTGTAGGAAAAACATACCTACATTACATAGTAAATGTCAAATTTCATATTTAGGCTTGAACCCAGCGTAATTGCTCCTCCGAAACGGAAACCACAAAATATGCTATAACTGGTTTGGTTGAATTCAGTTGAATGAACGTATGGCTTTCCCTGAATATCCTCAACAGTACTGAAATAAATGAAATTTTCAATGGAGGGATATAAAACAAGATTGATGATCCTCAAGCAGATAATCTGTAACAGTTGAGTAAAATTTGAGGCTTTGCATGGTGGAGATACTAAATAATGAAAGGTTTGCGGAAACACCATGTGCAAATAATTTCTCAACGAAGAGAATGGTTCTGAAGAGAACCAGAGGTATAAACTCGACAAGTAACAGTTGAGTTTTCGTATTTTATTCTGACAGGACACCTTTGCATCTAGCCTGCACCAAAGCAGACAAAGATGTCATCAAGCAACTCATTGAACACAAAGCTAACCCAAGACTAAGAAACAAAGATGGCTGGAATGCCTTCCACATAGCTGCCAGGTCAGTTGGCTGTACTGTCTACAATGTGTAGTCTTGATCTAAGACTGGATTTCAATTTTATTCCCCTAATACAGCAGGTCCCTAGCAAGCACAGTGAAGCTGCTGCTGGGGTAGAGGTCACTGTATCAAATCCAGTCCCGGGAACTTGGACATCACTACCTAAACATTTTCTGAGCAAGCATACCTCACACATGCATTAGCTTGACTGCAGCGCTTGTGAAATATGATTGGAATTTGCTGGCTAGCACTGCCAAATTTCCCAAGACTTGATTTGATTCATCTTTTACACTGCTGAAGTTTTTTTATGCCTATCGTATTCATCTTAATCTTAGCTCATCAGATTCATACAACTTCACATCGACGATAAAGTGTTACGCCTAAAATTCTGGAAATTATGTCAGACTAAAGCATAGTTTGCATACATGTACACTGCAAAAAACCCTTGTCGTTTCACCTTGCAGAGAGGGACACGTGGAAATCCTGAGCTACCTCCTGGACAGCATACCGGACCTGTGGGATACAGTCAGTAATAACGGCCGCACACCTCTACATACAGCAGGTACTTCATTTGGCCCATTAACCCTTACTCTCTGAGGGTAGTTTACTGCATGTCAGTTGGTTATGCCAATGCCCTCCAGCTGCACTTTATTGGAGGATACTTTGATGTAGCAGTGAAGGCTCCAATTGGCAGGAGTTGGAGGCCCTGGAGGGTGCCTGATACTGACCAGCTGGGGGCACTCACTTTGTTATCAGAGGACTCTCATTGTTCTCTGTGGCATGTATTGGAGTGCCTGTCCAGTTACCCTTGAAATGACATGGCAGATATTGGAGGGCCATGCAAAAAACATAGGAGATTTTCTTGAGGCACATATTGGCATGCGTTGGAGGGTCTAGTAGGGTAAGGGTTAAAAAAAAAATAACCTAACAATTCTAATCCACATGCAGCCATAGCCCTCACCATGCCAAAGTCAGCAAGTTTCTTTATGATTTTTGGTACTGGGGGATTAGGACGAATGAGCTTTGAACACCAGACCTTAAGCAGTGGCGTAGCCAGGAATTTTTCAGTGGGTGGGTGGGGGGGGGGGGGGGGGGGGGGGGGGGGGGGGGGGGGGGGGCTGGAACGTTCCAAATCACGGTGTCAAACTCCACCTTTATGCATATCGTCATCATCTCCGTCATAACCGACAATGGATGACTCTACAGCAAAGATGGCGCCTTCGGAGTCTCTGAGCTGTCCGGATGGCAACACGTACTCATACGGGGCTTGACTCCAATTTACTGGTGCCCTCCAGGCAAACCTGTCAGGTGAAGGAGGTCCTCTTTACCAAGTCCATTCATAAGTCCTGTCACAAGTAACTAGATGAGCAGTGACATAAGACATTTTGTAACAGTTCATTTGAATAGCTAGTGACTTGACTTGAGACTGGAGGACTTGTGACGGACTTGTAGGGACTTGTGACGGAATTGACTACAACTGCTCACAGGAGCTCCTTGGGAGGGACACACCAGGAGCCCACACTCAAGACCATTGGTTAGCACACACATGGCGTGAAGTACGCACAAATATTTCCTAATTAAATGTGCTCAAACCTGTAGCGTCTTTGTGCGCGGTAGGTGTATGGCACCAATGCGTAGTGGTGTGTCTCCCATTGTGATGTCTCCCACTCTCTAAAGTCCATACATCTACCTCCCATATCATTTAAGATTTCCTGTTATGCTTTCTTTGCAGCATTGCATGGTAAACTTGAGGCAGTGAATTTACTGTTGACAAGAGGCAAGTATCCAGTTGACCAGGCAGACAGTTGCGGATCTACTCCTCTGATGGATGCTTTGAGAGATGGCTTTGTGGATATAGCTCAGCGCCTTGTGGATCAACAAAGGGTATAATGAATATTCATTTCGATTCCTATATCTGAACAGTCCCAGACAGTCAACATATCAATCTGGTTGCCCTGCCATGCCTTTATACACAGGCTAGTCACTGAGAGTCAGATCTACATGTAGTTGTGTGCATGTACGGGCAGTACGGGAACCAGGTACCCTGCTGAAGTAAAACACGGTACCTGGGACCCATATAAGAAATCTAACGCAACCCCAAAATTCAAATCCTGGAAGTTATATGAAGGGCTTTATAGCTTTACTCTGTAAACTGCAACTTTCTTGAGCGTCATCTATCACATTTTAAAATGCACTTAACGTGAAATATGTTTTGGATTTCAGTGTTGCCTGGTTTTCGTTTTGAACAATTTCCAAAAAATGGCATTCAAAACCTGTCTGAGAAGTTACTATTAAAAGTACTTTGTAAGTTGGTTATCCTAAGTTGGGTATGAGTACCTGATCCCATAATCTGAACCGTAACATTAGTGGTCCGGTACTTCGAGACACTCTGTGTTTTTTACTCCATGCAGGCAGACGTGCACAAATGTGACATCCTTGGACGCACAGCATTACACCTTGCTGCCCAGGCCGGCTGTCAATCATCTGTCACTTTCCTTGTCAATCAGCGACAGGTGGATGTGGACACGCCCACCTCAAAGGGTGGACACACAGCATTGCACCTGGCAGCTAAGGTAAGTCACAGTGCTGCCCTGGCCAGTTGTCAATCATCTATCTGCAGCCACATGTTTCAAGTTTTGATTTCTCCACTTTTCTTAAGTAACCCTGCGAGTTGCTTTTGGGTGGATTAATTAACATCTCTTGTTATTTGTACTGTTAGGAGCGTCATTCTACAATGCTAGAAACACTACACTCTCTTGGAGCCAACATCAATGCCACAGATGACCGAGGCAGAACAGGTACTTACATTTGATACATTTCTTTAATCCACACAATTGTTCACAATCGAGAGGGAGTACATCACTGCCTGTAGGTTACAATGGACTGGGAACAAAAGTACCCCCTCTATGGGTAAAACAAGACAAGGCAAGCCCGTAAAGCAATTTCCAGAGAGCACAAAATCATAATTATTCAGTAGATACAAAATGGCAAGTTTTATCATGAGCCCTTCACAATGGGTTGGGTTTAGTATACTGATCCACCTGAAGTATGGCGGCAGCGCGTATATGTCGGCACATCCGCGTGCTCGTAAATAGTGCGTGCACTCTCTAGTTTTATAAGTATAACTTTTTATGGTCCCTCCACAGAGGGATAGGTTTGTGCACAATGAAATGAAACTTTGTAGTGCATGTTCTGTGCCATACACAAATGTGAATCTCGGCGGGCCGTCGCCGCAATGTGGGGAAGTTTTTTGAAAATATTAGGACCGAGTTATTGCGGCTTTCTGCTGTCCCCATAGCGTCTTCGGTCCCCGTAATACCATGGGACAACACTTGTGCAGTCCCCATTTACGGAACAAGAATGTGTGTGCTGGCACGTTCTGTGTACTTCACTATACACTGGCCGTTTTGAGTAAGTCACACAGTGACATCCACTGTTAATGCACGGAGTCCATCGTTCAGTCCAGCATGAAAAAGTGACAGAACGGGCGGGTTGGAAAAGGGAATGACTCTTGCCACTAATATATATTACCACCTGCTAATGTTTACAAAAGTTGTTTCTCTTTATACCTCCCATACAGTGAAATCTCGATAAGTGAAACTCTGATAATTCAAAACAACTGTTAAGTCAAACAAAGAATCCATTGCCTTCTGTAGTATAACAGTGACATACAACCCAGCTTAACTCAAAACTCTGCTTGAAAGTCAAATTTTGAACCTGTTCCCTTGAGGTTTAACTTATCAGTTTCACAGTAAATGTATATTCCCTGAGTTAAGTAATTGTTGCCCATGTAGTTCAGTTAACTTGATGAATTTCTGAATTTATAAAATTTACTATTTGCCTTACCATGGTTCTTACAAGTTATTTAACCAATAAATGACAACCTTTGTGATTTATTTTTGGACTTCCAGCATTGCACATTGCTGCGGGTATTCAAAACCGAGCATGCGTGGAAACCCTGTTGAGATTGGGCGCGTTGAACTGCCCGGATAAGAATGGTATCACACCAAGCCAGCTGGTGAAAAAGCAGGAGGTGCTACAAGTCTTTGAGGACACGTGAACAATGAGTTGGTTAACAAGCTGGAAATGATCTGGGAAGCTGCGGCCCAACTGTAGACCTGTTGTAGCCTATAAGTCATGTACATGATGTACAAGTCTGTGTAATAATATAATGCACTACTACTCACGTGGCTGTGACTATCAATTGAAATAAAGGATTCGTATTTGTTGAATGTCACTTGGTGCATGGAGCGTTTTATAGCTGAATATAATAATAATAATGGAGTCTTATAGAGCGCACGTATCTACCAACAATTAGGTACTCAAGGCGCTAGAAATTATGTCAATTATTAAAGAAAGGTAAATAAAGTTTGTGAGAAATATGAGACCCATTATGTAGCACCTTATAATGGTTTACAAGGTGCTGCGGCGCACATTGCAGCCACTGCCAGAAACACCAGGGCAAACCCTTTCTCTCAGCGATGAGTGTTACTGGTTTTTTAACGTGCATTACACAACACACGGGACCTACGGCTTTACGTCCCATCCGAAGGACGAAGCAATAATGGTAAAGTGCCTTGCTCAAGAGCACAAGCACCATGTTCCTACGGTCAGGATTCGAACCCATGCACCACGGCACACGAGTCGAACATTGTAACCATTGGACCACAGCGCCCCACAATATGCTAGGTACATGTGGAACGCCAAATGCGTGTGCAGTACAGTGCCAGTCCCAATGTCAGTCTCGTGACCCAATTTTCCACAACTGCAATAAATTGTTCGCTGGTCAGTGGAGACCTATGCAACTATCACAATTCAGGGCCATGAACCTGAGGCACTGTGTTGTTGCGAGGGCCTAAGGGACAAGGTGACTGATGGCCAAAAACGGCATATGCTGAAGTTTGTTACAAACCAACGAACCAACTAAGTAACCAACATAGAGTCATGACTACTTGTAGAGCTGCTCAGCCGCAGCTAAAAAAAGGCTGTGGCTGGTATTTCCCTAGGTACGTCTCATAATTATTTGAATTACAGGCATCTCACTGTGTATCCGTATAATGGATACATTAAGGTGACTGATGGCCAAAAACGGCATATGCTGAAGTTTGTTACAAACCAACGAACCAACTAAGTAACCAACATAGAGTCATGACTACTTGTAGAGCTGCTCAGCTGCAGCTAAAAAAAAGGCTGTGGCTGGTATTCCCCTAGGTATGTCTCATAATTATTTGAATTACAGGCATCTCACTGTGTATCCATATAATCATCGTCAAGCGTTCTTAATCATCGTCAAGTTTTCTTCCATAATTTCTTAACTCAGGAAATCCATTACAGATGAAATATCTTAGCACAGCACATATAACTGGTATAGAATATGATCAAGGTCACTTGAATTGGTGGCATAGTTCAAATTTTGCTTGCCATAAACAAGGTTTACCAATGAAACCTTGTTAATGTGTGGTTCAATGAACACAAATAAAGCAATTTAGACTGATACTGATATATACACACTTTATTTAAAAAATAATGTATAATTAACAAATGATTCCTTTCGTATTCATAATTGCCATAATCATCAATGTTAATTTCTCAAGGCCCTATTACAAAGTATTGAGGTAAGATTTTCTAAACATTGTATAAATACAAAAGAATTAAAGTATTTGAAAAAAATTCATTTGTTTCAATAAAATCCAATTTTCCAGTCTAAAACACCCTGTGACTTGATATGTGTCGAGGTAGAAAAACGTAAATTTGAACCGTCCCTCTTTTCAGGCATGTAACTGGGAAGTCACAAAAAAAAAGGAAATTCAAATCTTTTCAAGACTTTGTACATCCCGTGTTTTTCTATTTTTAATGGCACACATGGGAAGTAAAACAAGAGGAAATCAGCTGATCCAAGGAGAAATTGCACGCCTGTCTTTTTTTTTTACAGCCAAATTACAATCCTCCCCCCCCCCCCCCCCGAATTAATTTTTTTCTAGAATGCTCGACTTCATTTTATGCTACAAAATCTACCCACATGTTTACAACGGACACAAAAACAGACAGGCAACTTGATAATTGGCCATTTTTTTTTTAGCGAATGAGGGCACTTCAGAGACGCCAAACGGACTTGAATAAAACATCATGAATGTATTTTTTCATGTTGTAGCGATTCAACAATTATTTGTTTTACAATCTTTAACCCTCCTGCTGTCTGAACAGTCACAGAGTAGAAAATAAAAACCAATCCTCTCCCTGCCAGGCGTTTTTACACAGGCAAGTCGCCAACAGTTGGATCATATTTCAAACCAAGCACTGTGACGAGTCAAATGCAGGCAAGGCACAGCTGGCTTATCAATCACCTGCTTTCCAAGCATCACTGTATCAAGTATGCATCAACAGTCACAGCCAGTCAATCCCGCTTTATGTAGGCACGGAGCTAAATAACAGTTACTTAAAGATATAGTCCATCATTTGTAATTTGTGCATTTTGTTCGTTTGAAGCAACAAAAGTGTTCAAAATCTAATGAAGGATACTGAACAACTAACCTGATGAAGTTTCAGCTCAGCTTCAGCTGTATATTCTGAGAAAAACAGCATTCTAGGATCTCAATTTCAAATCAAAAGTTGCTGAATCATGTTTTGAATTGTTTTGAATTGCAGCTATACGCGATCTCGCGCACCGATCCGACAAATTATAGCAACCGCGCGCGCCTGTGCGTCGTGCCAATGCTTGCGCGCGCTGCGCCGAATAACAAAAACTACTAATTTATATTTTCCTACGGTGCGTCTTAAGATGCACAGTTGGAAAGGCCTTCTTTCGTTGATTACTTCAAAATGACAGCTTGCCAGAAAGAATAATTTCACAGGGAGTTTAGTCCACTTATTATCTTTCAACTAAGTATGTTTTTCAACAATAATACGCCAGTTACTTTTTCGGATAGCTGCAAATGATGGACTATAGCTTTAATTGATTTTGACTGGAAGGACAACTTTGAACCGAATGATATTTGCATAGAGCATCGTCAGCAGTGCCAATCAAATGCCTTTCCCAGTGGTCTCCCCCCCCCCCAAGTTTCCCTTTGTAACCGTTGTGAGGGGGTTCAGAATAAGCCATTTGTTTACTGCTTTATGTTTGGTTTTGGAGGCTTTGCGAATGTTCATGGTACAAAATGCCTGGGAACTTAGTGATAAATTGTTTTCAGAATGACCTAAAATACAATCAGCATGTAATGTTTGTGTGTACACAATTTAAACTCACCATTGCAGTCCTTCATTTAAAGAAAATCCAGGAGAGCTATAAATCGCTCTCCTCAAATATTCGAGGAGAGCAAATCGCTCTCCTTAAAATCTACGGATAAACAGCGGTAAAACGACGGGTTACCATTGTTTTTGTTTTATTTTGAATATAAGGATTTATTCAAGGGGCTGCATTATTATTAGTTTTTGCATAATAACATATGCTCAAGTTGCGTTACTTTTTTCGTTTTTGTAACTGTAAGACAAGGTAAAATTTATTTAAAAAAACTAACTAAATGGAGATTAATAAAAGGTTTGACTACTGCTCAGGCTTTCATTTTTTAATACAGGTGTCAGTTGGTTCATCACTTGATTATACTTGGAAAATGGAGAGTTAATAAACGGCACATAAAGCAACTGAAAAATTGCTTTCAGATTCGTTAAAATTATATGAAATTTTCAGCCTGAACTATTTCAATTGCTCTACGAAAGCTTCACAAAAAGGGCCTCAAAATGACACAAACTTGCCTTAAGTTTTATCGAAAATATCTGCCGTCGATAATCTTAAAAATAACGGAAAATGCAGGTCAAGTATGCCATATACACAATGCTAGTCACGACGAGAAACTGGCTAACAACATCTGAACTTCGCACTAGTACGAGCGTTTGTGATGCACTGTGTGTGGTGGGCCGGCAATGAGACTCGTTTCACGGTATAGGATTTCGGTGAAACACGCTGCATCGTTTCACTTCACATACCAGTAAAACTTCCTCAAAATAAATTCATGAACACGGGAAATACATACACAGACAAGAGAGATCAAGTTTTGTGAATAAGCTTGCAAAGATCGTCCTTCTCAATCGTTGTTTTCTTGGCATTTTTACGACGTCTATTCCGTCCAGCCTGCACGCAAAACACTGTACGGCAGGCAGTGCATTGCACCGCGCAGGACTATTACATTGACTGGTTACCGCATTTTCATCATGCCTTCATTGGGACTTAGTGCGCGGCGCAGCGGGAACCAGTCATTGCTGCACTTGCACGTACGGGCCCACGTGTTTTCATGCAGCTCTACGCGATATGCAGATTGTGCACGCACAGTATACAACCGCTGTACACACACGATCTTATACAGTACGTACGAGCTCGGTGTTCGTTCATTTTTAGCGATGTCCAGCGGCATATTAACGTGAGTTTGGGCATTATACCAACGAAAAATACGTGTAGCTTAAGACTTAAAATCCTTTGCGTTTTTATCACTTCTTATTTTTAAACTTCCCGTGTTTGACGAGCCCTCTTTTGGATTTCTGAGGAGCGCTATTTTTAGCGCTCCTTCGAGACAGTCGAGGAGCGCAGTAGGAGCGCCTGCGCGATCGCGCTCCTTAAAAATGAAGGACTGCCATTGGGTGTGTACTTTGCCAAATTCTACTACAGTATTAGCCTCTGCAGAAAAAGACGAGTGTGGTTAAGACGATTCATATTAATGTTACCCAAAACTTTATTGAACACATACTACTTACTATCTTGGCTATACATCATTAAAAATGGTGAATTAAAATTCCTATGCAATCACTATATTTCCCCCTAACAAGAATAATCATACAAAAATCATGTTGTGAATTTATAAATAATGTATTCAATCCATTATCATATGTTAGTCATTTGAATTTTAAAAAAATGGGATAAGTAGATTGACCAGGCTAGCCCAAGTTCAAATTGCAATTCACCTGCATGTACCATGTGTACTATACAGGGTGGATAAAAAAAATTAAAAAAATGAAACGGAGATATTCTTGCAAATTGGAACAGAAGTAGGGCACATGTGAATGAAAGGGAGATATTCTCTGTCAGGGTTGAATCTCCTCTTTAAAATGACACCCTGATCATGTCATTACATTCATGGTTGACTGAACAGTGACCAATTTTATGAAAGGGGCTTTTTAGAGAATTGCGCTGCTTTTCAATTGTGGTTTTTGTGGTGTCATTTGTCACAGAGTGAAAGGCTATGGTTGCCAATCAAGGCAGGTTGGGGAAAAAAAGAGATTTCACCATGAAAAGTGGCGCAATTCTCTAAGTAGACCCTTTCATAAAATTGGTCACTGCTCAGTCAACCGTGAATGTAAGAACATGATCAGGGTGTCACTTTAAAGAGGAGATTCAACCCTAACAGAGGATATCTCCCTTTGATTCACATGTGCCCTACTTGTGTTCCAATTAGCTATAATATCTCGGTTTCTTTTTTTATCCACCCTGTATGATTCTGTTCAAAATTTAATTGGCTACCACTGCCAATAACACAGACGCCTATGAAAGCAGCTGAATCAACCTCCTGTAGACGCATGTGTTAAAAACAGCCGCAGCCTGAGCCAAGTTAGGCTGGGTTCGAACCACTAGGCTACAGCTTGAATTAACACACCAGTCTATAGGAAGCGGCTGTAGCCGCTAGCCAGTGGCTTCCATAGGTGCGCATGTTATTCCCAGCCTTAGGCCAAGTGATTGGGACGCAGCCTGAGTTATGATTCCAACTTGGGCACAATTCCCAGTTAGGATAACTAATCCCTTTCTGTTAACTGCTGGAGGAAAATCTTGCCTTGTGTAGAGCCTCTGCCTTGGCTTTCAGAGAAACAAACTCTTCTTGAATGATGTCTGTCAACTTCTTTCTGATTTCAAGCTAAAGTTGATGATAAAAGAAATAGAACATATTGTTAAAAAAAACATACCTAACATTAAATTTGATGCAATTTTGACATTACAGTTTTTAAACCTGCCAGCGATACGTAACAAAATCATCTGCTTCTCGAAAATTTTGCAAAAGATTTTTAATGGAGACTGTCACAAACAGGGTACATCATTTTTTGAAAATACAAAAAAAGGAATTGTATCAGCTCAAGTCTGCAAGTCTAATTTAGTTAATATAAATTCAGAAATGTGTACATGTTTCCAACTACCCTACTTTCCAACTATACCACCAAATATGCTGTTTAGTGACTTCAGTGTAAACTGGCCCTTATTTTAACCCTAACTCGCCAGGCCTTTTTGCTAGGATGGAGCCTCAATCCTGCAAATTCCTCCATTCTTTCTTGAATATGGTCCGTGGAGGGGTGACCACTGCCTGAATCCTGCAAAATCCTGCGGCAGTGACTGCCAATATGTTGAGGCTTGGCCAGTGACATCCTGGAGCAGTACGGAGGATTTCAAGCATAATCCAGGCCTTTATTTATGCATGGCTGAACAACACAAGGTCCAGCCCAAGACCTTTACAAAATACATCCTACGAAATCAGTAACGCACTTTTGCCATGTAACCTCAATCCTCAAAATTCCTCTAATTTGGCAAAGAGGATTTTGAAGGATTCAGGGCAGATAGGGTTAAGGGCCCCTTTTTGAGGATGAATGGGTTAGACTTGTATACAAGTCCACTCACCGGTGATCTCCCCTCCTCCCGTAGGCGCGACAGTGATTCCCTGAAGTCCAGCGGCTTGCCAATCAGCATGGTGATCTTCTTGCCCAATTTGGGGATGTACGGCGGGTGGTTGGCCAGCACCTCATCCATCCCTAGATGCCAGAATGGAATGACCAAGGGCAGCACTTTGCTCTCAGCGATGGCTCTTCCCACTCCTATAAATAAGGGTGTAAGAATCAGTTGATGACAATGATTTTGAGGGGAAGCAGCAAGAGCAATAAAAAGTCAGTCCATTTAAATGACTCTTATTCTTTAGTCACAATTTGTTATTAGAATATTCCTGCAGGAACAAAAGCCTTAAGGGTTCTTACTGCAACTTACCCCATTTTAATCTCATGACTTCATTGTTCATGTTGACTTTTCCTGTGTAAAGACGAATATATAAACAAAAACAAGTCATTAAACCATGAACATTCAATGGAATATGCAACATTTGCAAACATCAAAAAACAAAAGTACCAAATTATCATGAAATACCCTAATGAACTATTAATGAATGACGGTCTAAAGCGTCCTGTAAAATCGTGGCACCTGGTGAGCTGAAATTTTCAAGAGAAGTGGTATTTTTGTATCAGTTTCCAACGCTGGTCGGCCGACCAGCATTGTTGGAAAGAAAACTGGCTTTTTTTTTTTTTAAATACTGCTGTCAATTTATCATATTTAGATAGTCAGCATTTTCTTTGCATTCGATTACACACCTGTGAATGGGTACAAGCCAGCTAGACTGGTTCCCTGACATTACAATTCCCTGATAAATCGCTCCGTTTTTCTTGGCTTTTCCAGCATTTACGAACCCAAAACGTCAAACAAGTCAGTGTAACAATATTTGCCATAAAATACTAACTACCCAAACCGGTCCATTTCTGAAAATTACAGCCAAAGCAAATGTTGTATATTCCCTTTAAACACTTGCTGCTTCGGTGCTGGATACTTGGTTAATTTTGGAAGCAATGGGGTCGGGGAGGGTTCGGAGTCGCATTTCAATTACTGTCAACCAGCTGTGTTTTAAGAAGAAACCATTCCCTGTGGCCCTTACCCAAAACTAAATACTGAATACAAATTCACAACTATTTACACCTTATTAAAGAAAAAAAAATAAATTAGCGTGCAATATAACCCATGGCAATTTTGTTTTAATAACTAAATGTTACTGGGATATTTGGGGCTGAGTAGGGGTGTGCATTTACGGGTAGTACTGGAACAGGGTACCCGATTGAAAGAAACACGGGTATCCGGGTACCCGTGAAAGAAACCCAACCTGAAATTCAAATCTCGGAAGTTGCTGTTTGAGATTTTTATAAAAATGTCCGCATGATAATACTGCCACATCGGTGCATCAATGCAGTGAGATACAAGTGTGTACAATGAGCTCTGCAGCTTTACAGTGTAAATTGCAACTTTCACGAGCGTCATAAATGTGAAAAATGCTTTGTTTTCCCATGTAGCCTGGTTTTCATTTTGAAAATCCTCCACAAATGACATTCGTCGAAACCTTTCTTTTTTTTATTGTCAGAGAAGTTACTTTGTAAGTTGTAAACCTGGTTGCGGGTACCTGATTCCACAATCTGGAACCGGTTCCTGACATGAACGGTCGGGTACTCGGGTACCCGGTTCCGCTGTACAGCCCTAGGGCTGAGGCCATTCCGAGTCCTCCCAAATACAGTACTACGCAGGAACTCAACAGCCCATTGTTCCCACATCATTTTTGAGGGCCCAATTTCATGGCGCTGCTAACCACAGCATTCTGCGCTTACGATCACGATTCTGTGCTAACAGCACTAGCAGAAACATTCTCCGCTAACCCAGTAAGCACAGAATCCTTAGTTGTGGGATGTACGCAATGTGCAGAGGCAACCTGTGAAATATGCTAACCGTAAGCACGGAATTATCTGCTACAGTAAGCAGGGATTTTTCAAGGCTAACGGTAAACAGAACAATGGAATTGGGCCCAGGTGCATCAAGCCTCGTGCAAAGTACTAGCGACTGTGCCAACCCCCCCCCCCCCCCTTAAAAGGATGGGGGGGGGACCCCAAAAAAATCACAAGAACCTACCTTCAGGAAAGAAGTGCACCCACTGGCCTTTATGTAGTTTGTCAATGCACACATCCATGGAATGCTGGTATACACCGTCCCCTGCAACATGTCAACAATTGGATTATTTGATTTGGTTATTCGTTTATTTTAAAGCATTTTTTTTTTAATGATAGTAGCAATGACATATCAACCCTCCTACTGCTTGAACAGTCACAGAAAGTCAAAAATTCCATCCAATTCCCCTGGCATGCAGTCAGATCATACTTCAAGCAAGCACTCTAGACTAGTCGAATTCAGTCAACAGACAAAAGTGGGAAAGTGGTAGTCACGGCTGGCTTATCAATCACCTACAGGCAAAGCACAGCTGTATCAAGTTACATAAACAGTCACAGCCAGTCAATCCTGCTTTATGTAAGCTGGGAGCTCTTAACTGTTGAAAAGAGTCACTTGACTGAAAGGGCAACTTGGCACAGAATGTGTGCATGTTTGCATAGGAAGGTTAAACAAGACTACATGTACAGCGTCTTCAACAGCAACATCAGTAGTGAATTAATATAGAATGGTAGAATAACTGAAAAGTGAATAATTTTACCTTATAAAGTGGGAATTATATTTAAAGTTGACAATTTATAACCTCTTGAAATATGGACCTTTCTTCCATACATTACTTTTTACAAAAACAAGGAAAGAGCTTGTAATGAAAATGTACAACATTGCCTAACTACATTTTAGAAGATCTTCTGCCTGGCTTTTCGACAAGAAATCTTTTCCTTTTCCGAATAGAAAGTCGACTCTCTGGTTAAGGGGTAAACAATGTACAAACCTCTGACTACAGGTACCCCTTGTCCGAGACTGAAGAAGTACACATGCCATCTCTTACTGCAGGTGATATCACTGGCTACTGGACACCTGTGAAGAAACACACCGACTGTCGGAATTAACCAATTAGCACCTGCGCTACATTGTATGAGGACATTACTCCTTGAAGGCTCAATAAAACCATACAAAAGTGCTTGGATGGTTTTGGATCATACAGGGCGAGTCAAAAAAGCGGAACCCAAACCCCAAAATATATTTCATATTTGAACAAATATGTAGTACCAAAATAATGATGACTGGAAAGCCAATTTCATCAACTACTTTTAGATGAAAAAATACTGAAATTGCTCAATCTGTTCAAAGTATATCACCATTTAAACGCAATGACCCTGAAACCTCTTTCGTCCAAAAATGTGATTTCAAGAATTGTCGTCACAATTGTCTTCAAACATCACCAGCGATAAAACCTCAGTTTAAAACTAAAAATATTTAACAAAGTCCTTTTGAAGGCCCGTCTTTAAAAAAAGGGGATTTATAAATCATATTGTTTGCCTAGGCAGGGTTGTTAACAAAGATACCGTGTACTACAGTTGTTGAAACAAGTATTCTGTGTCATTTTCTTTGTTGTTCCAAACAGTCAGAACACACAATAAGTTGCTTTTTTTTGTGGACGAAACAGGTTTTAGGGTAATTGCGTTTAAATGGTGATATTCTTTGAAGGGATTGAGCAATTTCAGTAATTTTTTTATCTAAAAGTAGTTTTTGAAATTGGCTTACCAGTCATTGTTATGTTTGGTGCTACGTATATCTTTAAATATGAAATATATTTTTGGGGGTTTGGGTTCTGCTTTTTTTTACTCACCCTGTACAAGGAGGGTGGTTTTGGGGCGGAACAGGGACAAATTCAATTCCAACTTTTCTTTTCCAACTTTAGTTGGGGCCATTAGGCCAAAAAAAAAAGTCTCCGGTTTCTGGTATTAGCATATTGTGTAAACTTGCGAAGTTTATCAAGCGTCAATTTTTTTTGTCATGCCGTTGCACTTAAGGCCAAAAAAAAAACAAGTCTCCGGTTTCTGGTATGGAGCTTGTCCAAAAAGTGGTGCGGCGACGCGTTTTTTTTTTTTTTTTAACCTGACTTTTTTGGCTTCAAATGTCGGCTGATGACTGCAAATGGTGCCCGACTAAACTTAGTGCAAATATATGGGAGTCCAGAGAGGCCACATAAAGCTTATTCTCGATCATAACTCCATCTAAAAACATGTGCAAATTGTGCAGCAGCAGAATTCCAGTCAAACCAGTGAGTTTGGCGGTTTTGAGACATCATCTTGTATTGAAAAAAAAAACTTTTTCATTTTGCCGACGCGCATGGCTACGGCGACGCGCGCGCATACCAGAAACCGGAGACTTTTTTTTTTGGCCTTACTAAAGTTGATGAATAACATCAATGTTGAGACGGTACATTTGCACAGAAGGAAGGGTGGGCCATGCTGGGAAGTGGGAACTGAAGGGCCATGGAACAGATATGAAACTATAAATTTAAGGGTACAAACACTTTTTCACTTCTGCTTTTTTTATGCCAATTCCCACACCCTTTTGGGAAGGGGTAAACAATTTGTCCAAGTTGAGTTTACTGTACATAATGCGCACCAACTCTAGCAATGACACCAAGTATAGATGGGACAGTCCGCCATTACGGTTGGGGCAATTCCAAGTACAGTTGGGATGATCCCAACAATAACTGCGATCGTTTCAACTGTTGGTTCGATGCTGTAGTTGGGCTTGACATAATATAGTCCCTTTTGTAAAATTTACTTTTTTAAAACTGATCTTCAGAACTTTCCTAATGTCACGAAAATGGGAACACTTACCATCTTGTTCTGTGTGGATGTCCAAATCTTCTCAATTTTAGTGTTCCTAAAAATGCAAAAAAATCATGGTTTATACTTCAGAAATGTCATAAGTGCACATAAGGCCCCCAAAAAGTCTTCCTTTTGGCCAAGCGCCCCCCCTCCCCCCCCCCCGACGCCCATGGTAGGGCGCGATTTGTACCATTTAGCCTGATCCTGATGTGCTACGAGTCGATTGCGCTGCCCGATCAATTGATTGCACTGCGATATCGGTGGATTGACCACCATCAGACGATCGCACCAACATCAGTCGATCACCTTTTCTTTCTAATTCACGGCTCTGGAGCATTGTCTTCAAAAAAGGGTAGTAAAGTCTGAGAAAGGATCGACCGATCACACAAATGCATTTCTACGCAAATCCACAGATCACACACAACATTCATTTAGGGCCTAATAGAAAAATAAAATAACAAATATCCTTACCCCATAATAATGGGTCAAAGCAGGAGATGTGGTTGCCTACAGTGATAAGGGGACGCTCAGGGGATCTTTTCTCCACTGCGTCATACAGAATGTTGAGGTTATGACCCTGGAAATCATTTACCCAATCTGTGAACGAAAAGAAACCCAATATCACGGACCACATATTTTCAGTGTTTCAAAACTTGAATTTTTAAAGAATAATAATAATTTTGCAGGCTACCGCTTTTTTCCAACATCTCAAAGCGCTTCACAGTTCTTACCCCTGTTCATCAGGCCAAGAGATCAGTTATCAGCAGCAGCTAAAGATCAGTCTACATAATCAATCATAGGAAGCCATTATGTTCCTAAGTTTAGAGAGGCCATTGTAGAACACAGAGTTATCTCCTATAATCACTGCAGGTGCAGGAGTTTGACTCTGTAACCATCTGACCACAGCTCTTTTTGTGTTTTTTTTTTGTAGACCAGCAGTGGGCAAACTCATCCACTGTTATTTCTACCCGATGCATTACATTTACGTGTACATGTATGATGTACTACATATATGATTCCTTACAAAATTTGGAAAGATTTCCATATACACAATGATATAAGAAGTTCACTCAACACCCTGTGTACAAACCCTATGAGAGTGGACTGAAAAATTCTAAGTGTTTTCTAAGAAAATGCTTGTATTTTCTTACTGCTCAAATTGACTTTGATGACATGAAATTACTATCTTGGGGCTTGTTAGGCGAAGTAAAAAAAAAAACATGTTTAGCGTCCCCGCCCGCTTCCTTTTTAGAGGCCGCCTCCTTTTTTTTTTTTTTTTTTTCTTTTTTTTTTAAGACAAAAATTGATAAATTTTAACGATCTCTGACGAAAGAAATCGTATTTTTAGACTTTTATACCGTGTATAAAGCTGTGGAAATAGTCAATGAGTCCAAGTGGCGGCCATTTTGAAAAAAGCTGGTAACCATCTTGAAAAATAGCCCAGCCGCGTTGTCTTGAAAAATGTGTCGGGCGGCCATTTTGAAAAGAAAAAACAAAAAACAAAAGGGCCTCCTCCTTCCTTTTTGTCAAAGAGGCAGGACGCTAAACATGTTTTTTTTTTATTTTGCCTTAGTCAATACAGAGGAAAATTAGTGAACTTCTTATATGGAAATCTTTCCCAAAATTTTAATCAAGGTGAAAAGACAAATCTCCATTATGTCCAATTCTCGCTCTGCTGCTTGAAAAGTTGTAACTTTCATCGAAAATGTGATTTCACGTAGTCTTGCATTCTGAAAACTTTAAAAATTATAAAAACTACTACAATAAAAGTACAAACAGCTTACTGAACAAGCATTGTACCATCTTTATGATCTTGTTCATGTGGGACAAAAAGAACATGCGTTGCTAGACGTGAGCACATATTGAAATGAATGCATGATAACTTGGAAATGGAAGCGCAAAAGTCTTCGATTGATAGGCCTATGCGTAGCCTCTTCGTACTCAGCAACACATCAGCAAAGCGTGTTCTGTTTGACCCATGAACAAATGATGAACAAAATGTCGCATAATACTGTGAAAGTGCTTATTGTTGACCTGGAAAGTGGAATAAAAAAAAGAAGATAAAATTGTCTGTTCGTGCAACTGAGTGGTGACAGTGGAGTTCGAGTGGGGCCCTTGCTGTTTCATGCACTATTGGTTGCGGTTCCAGTACCAAAGCTGTGATGCGAGTGGTAAACCTTATATTAGTGCATGAAACAGTCATCGGGTGTTACGCTTCCGCGTGACGTCATGCGCCAACAGCCAGCGTAGCCGGCAAAAACGAGTAGTTGACAGCGATCGCTCTCTGTGCCTGTTAATCGACCGCCATTCATTGTACACAATTTTTTTTGTGCACAAACCAATTGCGGTCCTGGCCAATCCAGCAAGGTTGTCAAGTTAGCGGTTATTCCTCCTGTTTTCACTGCAATTGTAGGCTGAATCTTCATCGTGGATCGTTTTTTACTTCAAGGACCTGTGTAATGGTTATTCCAGGCAAGTTTGGGGTGAGTTGCAGTTGCAATTAGTGTGTAACGGGGACAAAATTGAACATTTTCCCAAAAAATTTGCCTATACTACAAGTTACGAGAAAAATTCGCTCCAGCCCTAATAGACAACCCAATGATAAAACTCAGGGCTGGGTAACTCCAGCTATTATTATAATATTAATCATGGCCATGCACTGGAAGCACAGACATGACAGAGTCTACTCCATCATCAGTGCTTGGCCAAAGAATATAGCCATACTGTCATGACTGTGTAGGCCTAGGCCTAACACTAACACTGAAACAGTAACACAACAAGAGGATCTCAACGTACTGAGAAAAATACGACAAAAGATACCCGTGCCGGTAATCATAAATCGTGATCCAATTCTCCAAAATATCCCTGGCTTCTCGGGTATAACGAACTGCCATGGTTCAAGAGGCATACTTGTTTATAACCACGAATCACAAAAAAATGAAGCAAAATTATTTATTAAGCAGGTCGACCATTTGAAATATCATCATCATGCATATCATATTTATCATGTCTAGTGTCTGAATTTTCGTGTTTGCCGCCCTCAATCGTCAGCTGCAGCATAAAAAAACAAGGACACCGGCCGGCAACCTCGTTTCCAGGATGCCGAACAGTACGCTCCCATCACTACCTTTCCTTTGGAAACTAGGTTGGAAATAAAGTGAGCACTGGGGACGAGATTGACCGGCCGGCGAATCATGTATACATGGCGCGACCCATTAACGTCAAGTGCGCCTCGTTAGGTAACACCACTCATCAAACTCAGAGCAATCATATCTGAAAGAATTTGAAGATCGTCCAAAAAAAAAAGAAGAGATAGGCAATGCTAACATTTAAGGGGAAAGTTAACCCGACTCAGTGCCTCTGAGCTGGCCGTACATACTATCACATGACTTGCAATAGTATTAAATGTACGACATGAGGCGTTGCCATGTTGGGGTTTGTTTAGGCTGTTCTTTGGACCTAAGCGCGAGAACGCGATCGGCAGGCCGGCACCTGTCATAGATAAAGAATAAAAGTCTTTTTATTCTATATTCTATGGCACCGCACCTTTGCACGTTTACGCGTGACGTAAAGAGCTATGACGTACGTCATTAGCACAGATATTCTATATCTATGGACGTCAGTAACTCAATAACTCGAATGGGACGCTATGAGTCATGTTGTACTGGAAATAATGAAACCGCCCCACGCCTCCTATAAAAATATTATGGTAAATACCGACGGTTATTCTAGCCTGAGAATTTGTCTTCTTCGCAAGGCGCGTGCAGACTGATTTCTGAGCTTGAGGCCACCAAACCTGAGAAAAACCTGCGAGTTTTACATGTTCACCGTGTTCGCGGGCACGATGAAGTCAATTTCCCTTGCATTCCTACTGAAGGCCTGCTGGACATTCGGCGCTTTATGGCAGTCCGCAAAAAGTACGTATCTCCGCCATAGTTATACTAAAAAGAAGAAAGGTTGGGATCGTCATGTAGATCAATTAAAGTTTAGCAGAAGAAATATTGCAAATCGTACAATGATTTTATTCGATACAATTAAGGTACAAAATAACCGTTACCGTTCATGTGGTAACACGGTCAGTGGCACAACGAAATAACTAGCAGAACATATCTGGCAAAACTACCAATAAACTTGCAAGAACTGTCCTTAAATTCTGTAATTTCTGACAACGAATCATTAACAAGCATCTTAAAACTCAAAGGTAAATTATCAAACTGTATTAATAACGGAGAGACCGTGAATCATGAAGGAACCAAAAATCCAGCTGAAAATCAAGACGAACAAAATAATGTCCTTTGAAACGAATAACTGTCTCGGTTTACAGTTTCCATGTAGTGTTTTCTCACTGCCAGATTACTTAAGAATCCACTTAATCAAACTGTCTCTAAATAACTATAACATTCAGCGTATAAACCAAACTTTATAGCATGACGTACTTCACTTTCACTGGCATATTCAGAATAACATGGAAATTATCTTGTCCAAAATGCAAGGAAATCTCTGGAAATAACAATAGACTGAACACTTAGCTCTTTGACAAGATTCTGCTGTCATGACTGAAACAACTGTGGTTAAAACGGTTAAGCTGTAAAACTCGGGCTCGGTCCATGCTCATTGGGAATTTGACCTATAAAGTGGAGTGTTTGCTACTTCGTTTTCATTGATCCAAAAATGGTGGAACCCAGTTTACCCAGATGACATGAAACATAGGCCTACCTCATACCCTGCTGCACGGATGAGATGTGTATCATTTCATCTAGGATCCCGAAGAGCATAATTGGAGGGGGAGTTTCTATCGAATTCCCGATGAGCATGCATTTGAAATGGAGTTAGTGCCAGTTCTTTCATGTGTTGCATGTTTTCAGTACATGAGTACTAGCCTATTGAGAGTCCCAAATTTAACACTGCTGAGCCCCAAAGGCCAACTTTTCATTCTCCAAATCTTCAGTCGTTAATGATTTCTGATACAATGCACCTGTAAAGTGCAAACATTTGCGCACGTATATAGGCCTATACCAGTATGAGAGTTTGCATTCGTGAATTTCAGCATTATTTATTTCTTCCTTCTTTCAACTGGATCGGCCGGCCGCCCGCGACCGGCCCATTCAGCAGAATTCACTGGTCTCCCATGGGTCCCAGCATACGTAAAAGACAATACATGTAAACATAACAATCAATTTTAAAAATACACATTCACATATCACATTAATTTTTATTTTCATTTTAAAAGTCATCAAGCATGAGGAAAATAGGACCTTCCCAGAGCTAATTACCAGAAGCATTAATTTACGTGTTAAAACCCACATATTATGATGAATGTAAAAAGAAGATGAAACAGAAATCTCATGATATGCATAAAAAGACAAACAGTTTCAAAAATCCACTTTTGTTATACTGGTGGACATCTTCAAGGAGAAACCTTATTAGTCTAAACAAAACATGATGTGACGTACCACTCATAGGGGCTTGAAATTTAACCTTTTTTATGTCAGGTCATGACCTGGAGATGGGGCCTTGAATCCCCTTTACCGGTACGTTAAGGAGAGACCTAACTTTATAATTATACAGGGAGTCTCACAAAAACCGAACCCTTAAAGCACCCTTTTTTTCATAGCTTAAAAAAATCACATCGCAAATATCTATACAGCAATAAATAATAGAGAATACCCACTAGCTTTTCATCAACGTAAATCAGGTAATATTGATTGAGTTATGGCCAATTGAATGTACCACTTTTTCACGGCGACTGAAATTTTGACTGCCGCAAAATAGGAACAAGGACCGAAACTGGCAATTGTGAAAAAAGGCTATACCAAGTAGAGGGCAGAGACAGAGCAGTAAAGTATAACAAGTTAATTCTTTTTGAGGTCTTCCATTACTTTCAAAAGGATGAGCAATCATTGTTGCAAAAACATTAAAAAATAAAACGAATACAAATGAATAAAGGGAGATTAAAACATTACAGAAAGCCACACTACTTTGGGAATAGTTACAAACAATTGTTGTAAAGTATTTAATGTGTTTTGTTTGCTCTTCTTTGACAAATGTTTATTTTACTGACAGTTGTATGGGTCGGGTAGGGGCTTCGTTTTTGATAAATATTTTGAGGGGATCGACCTTCCCACCGACCCACCGACCGACACCCGAACTGACTTGTAGAAGATGTGTTGCCAGAACTTCTTAACAAACGGTATAGGTGACCGCACAAGAAAACTTCTTTTAAAGCTGTTAAAAAGAGGACGCCATGATGAGGGTTCGGTTCATATTGAGACACCCTGTAATGTGTTTTTCTTTTCCGACTTCCCACAGGTCAGAGTGACGGTGATTTCCGGCTTGTACCCCTCTCTGGGAGTAATCTCGATCGGCTCGAGGTCTACTTCTTCGGATCATGGGGCCCCGTTTGTGCCACTCAGTCGAGTGGGCGCAGTTGGGGTTTGCGTGAGTCCATCGTGATGTGTACCCAACTGGGTTTTGAATTCGTCGGTAGTTGGGGCCTGGACCAGGACTCTATCGGTCACGCTCAAGGAGCGAGGGTCTCCAATGTGGCTTGTCAGGGAGATGAGAGTTCCCTTTTAGACTGCCAGTGGGCGGGACCGGGGACGAATAATAGCGTTCTAGCGTGCTCCCTTGGAGTGGTTGCGATGACTTGTGTCAATACTCGAGGTGAGGAACAGATTTCGAGTAGTTGCAGACATTGGTAGTCTGAGTATCCCTCGTTCTCCACGGAGCCCTCTCCGGTCGAACGTCTGATACATCTAAGCATAAAAAAGTTGGTCCCCAAAAAGTGTGTCCCAAAAACTTATGGCGTGGGGTTCGGGGCCCGCTTAAGGGAAAAGATGGTGGTGTACTCATTTCCTTCCTTTATTGCGAAGTCACCTTAAAAAAAATGAATTCGTGGTTTTTTTTGGGGGGGGGGCATGGCCCCCTTGGCCCCCTGGATCCGCCCTTGCATCTAAGAATGCAAAGTTTTGCGACAACGCGCACACTGAGCCAATTGGCGTCGACTTTACTAAAGCGTGCCGTGACGTCATTTTCCTGGCCCAAATCTGGACTAAACATGTGATTGGTCGACGAAATATATAACATCATGTTTTTCTTTATAAATACAACGGCCAGGCGCGCATAGATCAATACAATCTATAGAACACCGCGATTGGCCGGCTCGCGAAACTTTTTTCCCAAATGACATCCGTTTCCCATCTTCTGATTGGTCCATTACATGCATATCTAATGCCTTGTTCTCCAACACAAACCCAAGATAGGCTTTACGTCTTGTGAGAAATGTTCCTTCCTCACTTAAGTTACTTAAAAGGTGAAATGAGGAGAAGTGAAAAACGCTCAATGAGATTCAAACTCGGATCACCTGATTAGAAGTCAGGACTACTTCCAACCAGTCCACGAATCAGCTGCCAATCGTCGGCGATTCAAACGCCATTATTCCTTGTTATATAACTTCTTCTCTAAAGCCCTGGCAATCATGAATATGCATAACGCAGAGAGAGAGCGCCCCGCTCTTTTTAATATAAAACAGTCGTGGCCGGTGTCATATGAAAATCGGACTCCTATGAAAATCGGACCCCTTTCCCCTATTATTGGTTAATCCCTCACACGTGACAGGTCAGTATACTATTATATAGGCCTATAAATAGGCTATTATCATACTTACGCATGCGCTATACTACCAATGAGTCCATATAGTCGGATATTCACGCTACACCTCCAGTAAATTAGTCAAGACTATGGGCGTCGCCATGATTATTTTTCTAAGGGGGGGGGGGAAGCACCACCAAGTTGCGGAAAAATTGGCATTTCAGCAGTTCTTACTGCTATGGATTAAATTAACAATAACATATTTACTTCGAATCTCTCCTGTATTTTTCCTTTTCTTCCCCTCCCCCTTCTTTCCGGAGGAGGAAAGCTCCCCCTTTGCCCCATCGAGGAACATGGTATGGTCAAACAAAGCCCCCTCCCCTTCCCCTCCCCCCAAAAAAGGAGTTCTAGCGCCCCAGTTATTAGTCTATAACCTCTCCCTTATACATCAGGTCTGGGAGCACAAGTCTCTTTCGCGGATGGTGATGCATCTACTGAGGGCAGAGTCGAGGTCAGATTCCAGAACGGCGATACAACATTTGTCTACAGCATCTGCGACGAAGGCTGGGACTGGGCTGATGCACACATCGCTTGCACAGATCGAGAACGCCCGTATGGCCCTGTCCTAGAATTAGTGGGAGGGTCCTACTTTGGCGAGCATCCTGCTTCAGCATCCGGTTCTTACGAACAGTTTGATGGCTTCCTGGCGTCCGGCATGCAGTGCAATTCCTCTGCGACGTACGAGAATCTCATCGGCTGTCCCAACTCTGGCTGGTTTCCCAGGAACTGCAACAAGAGTGCAGGGGTCAAGTGCCGAAGACACCCAGGTACGAGGTGATGTTGAACAGACTTGAAAATACAACAAAGTATGCATGCATGAATTGGATATCACTCCAAGCATGGCCCAACCCATATCCTCGCCGCAGCCCCACCCTCCATCCACCTTCATCCTATATCTGTCCTCACTGATTACGTTTGTTAAACTGGTAAACTTTGTTGATAGGGGTTCAAATTTTAGTTCACACCTACAATTAAAGGCATCCAGGCACGATAACTGAGCCGTTCATTACGGAATCTTTGCTCAAGCTCAAAACATTTCTCAACTCCATGGACAGCACTTATACCAAATCTTACGATCAACGGACATTCAGTTCAATGTGCTGCTTCGGAAGAATGGAACAAATTACCTTGACAAATAAAGATCATTAGTCCATCCTCGGAAACATTTTATATCACAGCTTAATTAAGACACACTTACTGTTTGCTACCAAAAGCACGTAGACAGGTATTTTTTTTCTTCATATTATGCGCTATATAAGAACTTCATTATTTTTTTCATCAGCTGTGGCTCCGATCAGCATCACACTCAGTGGCGGTATGTCGGAGTACGACGGGTTTGTCGACGCGGTCGTCAACGACGCGCTTGGAGGGGCCGTTTGTAGCCTGAATGACTTGACCCTCGGGGAAGGTGACGTATTCTGCCGATCCCTGGGATACGGCTACGCCCTCAGTGTATCTGAGGAGAAGAGTAGCAAAGGACCAGTCGTCACCAACCTCCGCTGCTTCGAGAATGAGCAGACTCTTACTGAGTGCCTGTACGGCAACTCTGGAACCTGTCACAAAGAACAGAATCTCGTTGCAAAGGTCACCTGCAGTGGGCCCCTTGGTAAGTTTTGCAAATCAATACACTGCGCTCAACTTTGGGCTAATCGGCGACAGCCCTTTTTGTGAGGCAGCAAAAAGGATACAATATATCGGCCGAATTCTCAAATTTATAAGTCAACTTAACACAAACACCGCAAGAACTGACTCTTTAGGGTCATTGTATGTCACTGACTCTTGAGAGTCATAAGTACTGACTCTTGAGAGTCATTATACAAACCCGGTACGCATGCTGGAAAAGCAATCAAGATCTAGAACTTCATCACTGGAAATTTCAGTCCAACAATAAAGGGTGTCAATGAGAAACTGTAAAAAACACCAGTCAGACCCCATCTCCAGTGTGCTTCTGCAGCACGGCAACCCGGTTCATTGAAGAACCAAGCAAAGATTTGAGAAAGTCCAGAGACGGGCAGCAAGGTTCATCACAGGTAACTAAAAGGGAAAGTGTAACAAGCATTATGACCAAGCAACTCGGATGGTCTTCCATCGAGGAAATGAGACAACACACCCGCCTCATCACCCTGTCGTATAAGATTTTCAGAAATGAGTTGGCCATCAGCAAAGATAACTACTGCAAACCCAAAACCATCTAGAGCTATATAGACAGGGTCACAACAGCCAACGGATGTAACCAGTTAATTGATACAAGCAGTGTTTCCCCCCTGCCCATTTAGACGTGAGGCGGCCCACCTCGCCACGCTCAGTGACCACCTCGCTCATTTTTTTCCAATATCACCACCTCGCAGTGAAGATTTGCAACAAAGGAAATACTATTTGAATTTTTCATTTTGGGTAATTTATGGGGATTTTCCTTGACCTCTGTGTATAAAGAACTCACCATTTGGATGTGCAGATGGAATAATCGCTCATTTCTGTAAGCGCTGCATTCTTTTCACTTTGCAGACTGCGTAAAGTTTGTTTCAATCATCAATTTGAATGTTTACCACCCCACTCAGTTCATTAGCCAGTGGAAACACTTAATACAAGAATCATGCAACAGTCCTTCTCTGAATCAGTTGACGTGTGGAACACATTACCCCATTCAACCATTTGTGCAACGTCTTTTAATCATGGTAAATTCATTTTGGAGCTAAAATGGATACTTTCTGTCTACAAAGTTCTCCTTTTAGAGACCAACTTTGTATAATTATCATTTCTCTTGAACAGGATCCAATGAGTATCCTGTGGAGCTCACCAACCAACTGGGCTCGAGAGGCAAAGAGGGACTCTTGCGAATCCTCCGAGACGGCCGCTGGGGAACCGTCTGCAAGACAGGCTGGACCAAGGAAGACGCACAGGTGGTGTGCCGCCAGCTGGGCTATTCCTCTGTCGTCAGCTACGTGTCTGATGACGCAAGCGGAAGTGGACCGATCTACTTGACTAACGTTAACTGCGACGGGACTGAGCAGAGTTTGGACCAGTGTCAGCATGACGGCTGGGGTGTCCATGATGGATGTAGCCACATAATGGACGTGTATGTCAAGTGCGGATCAGCAATGACGGGTAAGCGGCTTTGTTTCACCGGTGTCGCACTAGTGTGGTAGTCGAGTCCTTTTTCGAGAAGTATACGTGTATACTGATATACCAGCTGGAATTAAACACATGCGAGAAAGAGGACATACTTGTCTAAGTAATTTACCGTAGTTTCTGATTGATGATAAAAATCGTCAATAATTTTTGTTACAAGTCTTAGCTGATGTAAACAGCCTTGTACTGTCCGTTATCACCCTTTGTTTTCATTTTTCATAAATTATAAATTAAATATTTCCGACGATTTTGTTCAAACTTCATGTTTTGTGAAACATACCTCTATAGCTATGTTTATGAAATGTGTCTTGCGCGAGTAGAACTAAAAATCTCCCTATATGGAGATTGGCGTGCGCCGATGGCCCGTACTGCGCGTTGTGGTGCAGAACGCAGCGGTGCCGGGAAAAGTGTTTAAAAGCACCCACGTGATGAGCCTCAACCAAAATGAATGGGTAAACAGTCTTAGGTATTTATTAATATTTGTTTATGTTTGGTTGTTTTTGTTTCCCCTCCGCAGTGTGTAACACCATACTGATTGCAGCCCTGGCCAGCCTGGCGAAGTTTGTCAGTTCCTAGTGATGGACAGACGACTTCAGAAATATTTGGAAAATCATTTGTTGTGATGGTCGTTTGGCTCAAATTGAGCTCGAGTTGAAACATGTATACTGTAGAAAGCGTGGTGTTACTGAAATGAAACTGAAATAACAATTAAACTTATAACTGAGAAACAAATCAGGGAAAGCATGTTTAATGTTACTGAATTTATTGTTTTTTAATTATGCATTTATAAAGTTCAACGAGCCACTGAAATTTGTTTTAACCTCATATATTAGCTCTGTACTTTTCCTTTTCCTGCTATCACCCAAAATTTGCGTATGTTAGGACTCTTTTTGTTTAATAATCTGACCAGGTTTAAAGTAGATCCATGCATCTTTTTGATACATGTTGTCACGTGACAAAATTTTATCCTTTACAGCAGAATTAAACTCAAATTTTGTAAAAAAATAATAAGTTCATATATTGCCCAGTACTTATTTATGAAAATTGGTTGTATATAATGAATTGTCTATTAATTGAATTGTATTTTATTGATCCTTGATTGCTAAGCTCTATATCTGATTCCAACTTTTGACTCATTTTGTTTGAAGTTTATTTCAAGCTGATGGATCTCTAAACTCTATTTTTCTAAAAGTTGCATTATGAAATAGTTTATTTGTGAAAATATTAACGTACTCTGCAAACGTTATGCACATGTCATGATAAGCTTTTACCCTGCCTTTCTTATATTATATTCATGTGAAGTAAATTTACACTAACATTTGATATTTGTGACACGTTCTCAGTACACTTCAGTGCATATATTTTTATATTACTCCTGTGACGTGAATTCATGGTTATAAATGAGGTTTTGAAAAATTGGGATAACTGGATTTTGAAAAATCTTCCATCACTACATACTATGCCACGGGAACGGGGGTGCTGTGGGTGCTGCAGCACCCGCAACTATTTGGATTGGGGTGTTGGAATATGCTTCAGCACCCCCTACTCCAGGGCAAAAATGTGTTCCAGCGACTAAGCGCGGCGCTTCGAAAGTCTAGCACAAACACTGTAAAATATCAAGAGGAGGTATTTTCTAAATCTTCAGGCAGTGCAGAATGGATATTTCCCACACAGTATCTAAAATCATGACATGTCTATGATATTTCCGCCATGATGGAAGCTTTGACCCAAAAGCAATAACCTCGGCCATGAAGATGGTGGCAAAGTTGATTATGCTTGCCAGGATTTTATTTCATTCGATCTTTCAATAGGGGCAACTGTTCATACCTTTCCCCTGAAGGTTTTTCTTTTCATTTAAAAGTTGCATTGACGTTGCAAGCATTCTGTACTCAACCTGTACAAATAGCAAGGTTTATTGAAACCGGTCATGCTTTATGCCAAATCCAGTGTAGTTTTGTTTTAATAGAAAAAAATTATTCATGTTTTACCCTCTGCAAGTATTTCCTCACAAAAACTCTGTAGACCGATAAATTATTGCCTATAGCCCCAAACTTTTCGGTCATCTACCGATCATAAACATAAAGATACATTTGGTCTTTTAGTCATATTTGCCACCATTTCCTGTAACAAACAAATAACACTTCAAATATATCGAGAGTCACATCGTTTGGTGAGTTAGAACTATGTGAATATTTTTATGAACAGAAATTCATCCGCTTCCAGTGGAACCATTTCTTTTAACTTAACCCCCCCCCCAAAAAAAATCCTTTCGGGTTTTATAAGTTTCAGTATACTATATCAGTATATTCCATCACAGTGCATCCAGAATCCAACATTTTCTGGGGCCTTAAAGCGGGCCCCTGGCCCTGTGGCCCCACGCCGTAAGGACTCGGAAAATAAAACAAAACATACACGACGGAATGTAAGAAAGCAGCCTTGCAACATTAATATTTATATGCGATGTCACGCGTAATGATACAATTCTTTTTCCAGAATTAAATGGAACCAAAACATGGAGATAAACATACAGGGTTCTCCACTTTTCAGTACAGTTAAACGTTTAAGAGCAACAGTAAATTCTAAACAAAATAATAAAATAAATTGTCTTTATAATCTCAAAAAAACTTTTGCTAAAAACGTCAAATGAAAGTGGCCAGGAATCGCCTCAGATTGCACCACAGAAAATATTCCAAATTGAGGCACGACGTTAGGGCTTTGCGCTCTGCTTTCTTATTAATTTTGTCCGTCCTTTATAAATTCCAGCACCCCTCTGACAAAAGTTTGTTCCAGCGGCAGTACCTGTATCTGTATGCTACTGCACAATCGCCTATGGTGGGGCTATCACGTGCAGGTAACGCTGTCATGGTGCTGGTTGATTCCTAAATTTTGAAGTGCGCATGGGTGGAAAGTTGGCCGATATTTATCTTGTCTAGTTGGGTTTTGAAGGCGTTCAGTGTGGGTTGGTTTTTAGTGCGTCAGGTAGGAGGTTCCATTCGGGGATTGTCCATGGGTATAGCCAGTGGAGATAGTTGTTTTTGTTTGACTGGATGCGTTATTGGTTTGTCTGGTAGTACGTCTGGTGGTTGGCTGGTCACTGGGTAGATGAATTTGCAGGTGGGAGATATTACTTGGAATTAGTGCATAGTCGAGCTCTGTTGCGTCTTTCTTCCAAAGGGTCCCAGCCTAGCTCTTTGAGCATTGCAGTGACGCTCGATGAGTAACTGTAGTCCCTCTGGACGAACCTGGCTGCACGTCTCTGAACTTTTTCAAGCACGCTGATGGTGTTCGATTTGTGGGGGTCCCATATGACTTCACAATATTCCAGAAGTGGTCGAACAAGTGCCTTATATGCTATTTCTTTGGTGTTTATCACAGCTGGATAATGTTCTTTTGAGTAGACCAAGGGTTCTGTTTGCTTTGACTGCAATTTGGTTTATGTGTCGATTCCAAGTCATATCAGAAGTAAGTTCAACTCCCAAGTATGTGTGATGATCGACTTCGCTAAGTATATCATCACCCATCGTGTACTGGTTGGAGGTTGGTTTCCGTTTATGTGTCACTCGCATGGAGAAGCATTTGGACCGATTAAAACCCATCTGCCAGATAGATTCCCAAGTAACTAGGTGGTCGATGTCCTTTTGCAGGATTTTAGAGTCCTCAGGAGACTTTATTTCCCGATACAGAATGCAGTCATCAGCAAAAAGTCTGACGCATGATGATAATTCTCCCATCAGTACACTCTTTCAAGCATATTAAACAGTGTCTTCTATACAAAAGCCTCACTGGCCCATGGTTTTGTGCGTAAACCTTATCAGTCACCCTACCACACTCAATTGACTTAGGCAAAACCGCAAGTCCCATCATAAAGAATAACTTAACCGGACCATTTTTTTCCCCTGGAGGCGCATTGTAAAGGTTTTGGGGCTTGGTTTTCATATTCCTCGTTCGCATAAGAACTCTCTATACCGTTATCAGAAAGATAATGGCAATTTTTGTTTTCATCTCGAAGGGGCACATTTATGCTAGAGGAGGCACAATAAGAGGGGCATGCACTTGGGTAATCCCCCTCCCCTGCCCCCCCCCCCCCGGTTCCGCCGTCCGTGGATTCTATAGATCGGCATTTCGAATTCTGACATGAACGATAGTATTCGCGGAGGGAGAAGAATGTTGCAAACGCAGTTGGGACGCCACTTTTTCCTTAACATCTCAATGAAGGTCATGGTCATTCATTGAAAAATGGTAATAAAACATGAATCTTGGACTTAGAAACATTTCAATTTTTTCTTTCTATGTTTTATTGATTAGCAAAAGCAATATACATTTAAAAATCAAAACAGGAATTATAGGAAATACATAGGCCTACTTAAATTTTTGTCAGGTTGTGCAACATTCCCAGTACAAAAAAGTGACTCATCACCGTCGCCAGTCACAATCGCATTCGAGTTATTGAGTTACTTTTTCGTTAAAAAGCAACTAAACGACACACGTACACGAATGAACACTCTTGTTTTACTAAACTCTCGAGGACAATGTTTTGTTTCGATCCTTTGTTCCTGTAACTTACACTCTCCCATATAAGTACACACACTTACAGAGGACTGCTGCAAATTATCTGTGGTTGACAGTTTTGACACCCTCTTCTAGTGTACGAGTGTACTTGTTCTACATAACCCCCGAGGACAGACACACAAACTTGGAGAACAACAGATCCTTTCAGTCCTTGGGAGTTGGGTCTTTTGTTCAAAACGGTCCTCTGTGGTAGGTTTGTGTGCTTAGTCTATGGGAGGGTGTTATATTACTGGGACAAAAGAAATCACAAAGCATTGTCCTTGGGAGTAAAGTAAAACAAGAGTGCGTGCACAATAATCTCTGGCGAAAAATGCTAAGCTGATGGCACATATGGAACATATGGATGATGTTAATCGTATGAAACTTGGTCAAAATAGTAGCACTACATCAACAACACAATATTAATCAACTCAGATTCAAGACGTTTTGGGATTAATTAAATAAGTACAAACACCATTTTGTTTTAGTTTACAATTAAAATTTCTTGAAAAGGAAGATACAACATTTGCAAATAATGCAAAACAAAATGATCCAATTATCACAAAATACCTAACTAGATTGTTAGGGAATGACAGTCTAAAGCATCCTGTAAAATCGTGGCTCCTGGTGTGCTGGACATTTTCATGGTATTTCTCCAACGCAGGTCGGCCGATCAGCGTTTGAGAAAACTGGCTTTTTTCAAAAGGTGCTCCTAGTTTTTCCGAATTAGTTATTCCACATTTTCTTTGCAGTTGATAACACGACTGTGAAGGGGTACAAGTCTTTTAGACTGATTCTCTGCCCTCACACTTTTCTCCAGTCTATAAATTGCTCCTATTCGTTTTAAGTGGGGTCAGGGAACCAGACTATAAAAACATGATTGGTTTTCTTGGTTTTTCCAGCATCTACAAGCCCAAAACGTGCTGTACATTCCCTTTACGGTAACAGAAAAATCTAAATATTGGTATGGTATTACATATTTAAATATAACCGTGTGAACAATTCAGAACACAATAAAAAAAAGACTG